ACCAAGCGATTGATGATCGGGAGCTGGTCGTGAGGTGTTAATCGCTTCTCGTTACCCCACGTATACACGATGCACGACACACGATGAAGGCCAAACTTGGGCCGATCCCCAAAACGGTCGCACGGCTGAAATATCGGCTCAAAATGGGCCAAAAATCGCACAGTGTGGGCCCAGCGTTAGAGTAAACCACTGTGTTGCTGTTTAAAACTGAAGAAGACTCTTTGATCTTCTCACACTTGAAATTGTTCCTGCCTGTCATTAAAAATCTGATTATCAAACATCTGCTCGTCTCTGCAGCTGCAGCTGAACTACCTCGGTAACTACGTCCCCACAGTATGGACCTACGAAACCGGCTGCGGGATTTGCGACGACGACCTGCTCTTCTTCAGTGAGGTGCCTGCACCACTCTGTGGAGGACATAATGAGGAGAAAGTTTCCCTGTCAGTGTTTGAACTCCACGTGTGCGTTTGTGTGTTCAGGACGAACAGATGCCGCTGGTCTACGTCGCTGTTTTCATCGAACACGCAACTCCCTTCATGGAGGAGTTCCTGGAGCGCCTGTCCACTCTGAACTACCCAAAAACGAGGATTCGCCTCTTCATCCACAACAACGTACGATGCACACTCACAGAGTTCCAGTTTCACTGCTCTCACTGGAACATCAGAGAGAAAAGATTCACAATTAAAGAGTCAGAATTGTCTCCGTGGAATTCACCGAGAGATTTTAGGCAACTTTGACAGAAGGAAAAGGTTCCTAACAGTGGCTCCAGCAGCCTTCAGCTGTGAAAAATGTTTTGCCTGTTCACTAAATTTAGAGCCAAAGTTTTTGCAGCATACAGAACTTCCTTCCTGTGTTTGTGCTTTCTGACCTGTTGTGTCCCCGTACTGCAGGTCGTGTACCACGAGCGTCACATCCAGAAGTTCTGGGAGCGTCACAGGTCTCTGTTCCCAGACGCCCGGGTAGTCGGACCAGAGGAGAACCTGAAGGAGGACGAAGCCAGAACCATGGCTGTGTGAGTGCACAACCTCCAAGGACATTATAAAAACTTTAAAACAGTAAAATATATAAAGACATATATGACACCAAAACGAAATGTAGGTTTCAAAGATGTCAACACTGTCAGCAAAATTGGTCTCAAATATTTACAAATATTTAACTATTTACATTTTTAGTACCAACCTTTATTTATTTTTTTAAAATAAGGCAGAAATAAACAGTAGTTTTCCTTCTGTGGTTTTATTTGAATTTATGTGCAGCTCATCAACTGCATGTTACAGAACTTTGCCAACATATAAATGAAATAAAAGTGAGCAATTAATTCATCTGAAACAAAAGTTCAAATTTAGGAAAATCCAAAAGATACGATAAAACCTAAATCCCCAAATAAGCACCTGCAAGAGGCAGAGAATAAATCCTGAGGACAAATTTACTCTACAGGTGGAAACAATCAGGGAATCGGGAGGAAGACAAAGACAGGAAATAAAAGGACAAAAGACACGCAAAGATCAGGAAAATAAAGGTAGACACTAGAGGTGGGAATCACCACACATCCTACGATACGATATTATTGCAATTTTT